GGTCTACTGAACTTAGACTTAATAGAAATCTTAGAGTGCATACCATATATCAGTGAAAAAATTAACTAACAAAATTGTACAAATTAGTGCAAAGTTTTGTAGGTCTACGGTCTACTGAGGTCTGAAAGGTTTTCACGGATATTTGGTACGCACAAGAGTTAACTACTCTTTATGCTTACCCCTAAACGCAAAATGAATAACTCGTTTAACTTTCGTTTCTTGCGTTACCATGAGAACGAAAATCTCTCTCGAAGAATGAGCGCACATTAACTTTAAAATGACAAGACCGATTATAGCAGTTTCACAAAGTCAACAACACTAATCTACCTTCTGTTGATCTAGACAACGTCTGTACTAACAGACTAAATGTTATTTATCATTGAACAATAAATCGCTCACAAAAAGAAAATGATCAAAACTCTTAATGCCAGGGGCAGACGTCGAACTTTCCATGTGACTGTTCTAGTCGATCTAATCAGATCTACTCTCTATTATCAAACGGCGGAAATCTTGGATTCAAAACGGGGTTTTGCAGGACTAGTGTTGCTGAATAGACCTCCTCGGCTCGGCGTAATGTTGTCCCATTTCAGACCACGTGTCATTCCCTTGAGAATAATATTCTTTGTTTGAGCTGTATCCATATTCATGTGTCTTCTCATGTGCAACCGAGCAACCGAATCTGAAATTACGTCAGAGCCGAGGAGGTCTATCGATGCCTTTGCATCGAAGCGAGGCGAAGGAGACCTTTTTTAACACCTTGAACAATTATTCACATGTCTTTATCATTGCAAGCTCACCGTTCGTCTCGCTTTGATGCAAAGGAACTGCTACCTTTGAAGATGGTGAAGGGGTCTATTTGATCTTGAATTCTGAGTCTGTCATGCTTGGTTAGCCAAGCTTTGAGTCTAAGATGGCCGCCACGTGAGAAGAGAGAATCTATCGGGGTGGAGGGCTGGTGGGTTACGTAAATCCACCCAATAAATATTGAGGATGCACTGACCTGACCCACGAAAACCATATCGCCCAACCTCCACTTTCAGTATAGAAATATCGGGTCTTTCTTGGTGTAGAAAGCTTTTGTTATGTCCTCCAACATGGCCGTCGTGTCTTTGTTATTTAATTCTCTTAGGAATGGTTGAAAACCATCAATTTTGGGTAAGGGTTATTGCATTGCAGGGCATTGTTTAGATGCAAACTTATTGTTCTCGGCTATTGTTTTGTTGTCTTCATAGCTCAGGTGCCCTGCAAAACCAACAAAGAGCCGAAATATTGAACAAACGCACACACAAAATGCGTGCAAAGCGTTGTAACAAAACAATATCGCGCAACATAAATTCCTTCATCCCTCCCCCCTCAAGCTAACAAGGTCTGATGTGATGAACCTTGATTGACTTTTCCTGCTAGCAGAGTCTCTCTTCTCTTTCTCTCCCTTCTTTCAGGCGGGAAGGAAGGAGACTCTGCCGAAGTAGAGCGTTTCTTTGATACACCGCCGTCTACAATCGTGGACTAACAAAACCAGTTTAAAACCGGTTTTTAACCGATTACAGTGCGCATGAGCAAATGTAACATGCCGWGGCGCCAAACATTGTTTGACAAGTGCGGCTGTCAAAATCATGACAGCGTTGCTAAGTTACACCACGCATGCGCGACAGAAATAACGTCCTACATCGGCAGAGTCTACTTTTCTCTCTCAACCAAAACAAAAGGAAAATAGGCTCTGCTAGCAGGAAATGATTAACTAGGTACGTTTTCTTGTTTTCCAGATTAAAGTAGCATCTACTATGCTGACCCTGGTCGGTGTCTACATAGTCACTTGGATTCCAGTATCTGTGCTACACTTTCTACGCGTGGCAGGAATCCGAAACATACCAAGTTACGTTGACCTTGGAGCTGCGTTACTCATAAGTCTGAGTTGCGTGACAAACCCTTGGATTTATGGCTTTAAGAATACACACTTTCGTGACAAGTTAAGAATCATATTGAGAATGAAAACTGTTGTTCGTCCTGTCGAGAGAGAAACGGCAAGCGAACATGTGCACTAGCTGAATCAGTAATCAACACTGCCAGCTCTCCCTGGAGTCCATAAGCTTTGGACCTCATCTTCCGGATTTCCAGTGCAAATCCCGCTTGAATTACCCCATTATCTATTTGTTTATTTACAAGTAATATTTTGACTGGGCAGTCCGATCCAGCTTGGGCTGGTTTAAATGGAGGTATATTCTCTTGGCTGGTTTTCTTTGTTAAATTCCCTCGGTGATTTGAACTTCCCGCGCAAGATTCGAATCAGTGAGTTGTAGTAATTGAATTTGCATTTAACGATATGTCTGATGCTCCAGAATTGAATAATTCATGGCCTGGCATCCTTGGTAATCCTAGAGAAACTTTGGGGCAGACATACCAGCCTTTTCAGTAAGATTTGTATTTGAGTCAAGTACTGTCAGGTGGTTTGAATCAGCTCAAGAGCGGTTTTGGATCTCATTGTTTGCTCTTAATTGTGGTCAGCAGCAAGAAAGAATTATATTGAAAATTTGTGATATTCCTGCATGATAAGACAAGAACCAATAGCCAATGTGCGCGAGCACGAATCTCTTTCACAAAGCATGATGGAAAACCGAGTACTTACGGTTTATCATCTCTGACAATTTTTCCTTCGACAATTTCTATGAAACAGTAAAAATAGAGCGTTACACGTGACGTCACAGCCGCCATTATGGGGTACCAAAACAATACATTTCTTCTCCTCCGGGAATTGAACTCTAATTTTATGCAAATACTGTGCAGAAAGTTTCTATTGTTTATGGGTGCCTTCTCACGTGAGTGAAAACGCTCTATTTCCACAGACGAAAATAACAGAGTAATTTTTTCTGATAATTCTATTGGTTTCTTCGTTCTAATTTGTGTAGTACTCGGTTTCCCATCATGCTTTGTGCTAGAGATTCGTGCTCGTGAACATTCCCTATTGGTCTGACCTTATCACTCTGACCTTATACATCTTTAAACGACCTACCTCTATTTAGCAACCCATGTAGAACAAGTCTCAAAGGGGGTTTCTGTGCAAATTTATCTCATTAAACGACCAACCTCTATTTAGCAACCCGTGTCCAGAAAGTCTCAAAGGGGGTTTCTGTGCAAATTTATTTCATTAAACGACCAACCTCTATTTAGCAACCCGTGTACAACAAGTCCCAAAGGGGGTTTCTGTGCTAATTTAGACCTCTACTTAGTGGCCCTACAATTCCAAATCGTAACATAAAATCGTAGTATCTAATCGTAGTATTCAAAGGACTACGTTTCAAAAAAGGGCCTTCATATGGGGCGCCGATCCAGTCAATATTCTCATCATTTATTTCATGGCTTATTGTATTTTTATTGTGGTCTTTGAATTTGCTTTTATGGTGATTATATTTAATTTTTGGTGGGACTGAATTTGCTTTTGAAGCACCCGAATTTACTTTTATGGTCATTTGTTTAATCTTTGGCAATCGAATTAATATATTCTAATGCAGGATTTTTWAAATTCTAATCTAAATTTATTTATGGTCTTTGGATTTTTARCATGCTAATTATGATGAATTGCGAGCTTCGATTTGACCGAGTGAGAGGCTGGTTGTCAAAACAAGATGGCGGAGCAAGTATTTAGTATCACCATAAAAGCAAATTCAAAGACCACAATAAAAATACAATAAGTATAGGAAATCGCACGATCTCRAGTACAATTTGGAAATTAATAGACACGAGTAATGTTTTGAAAGTTCTTGTAATTGCATGAGCCTTTAGGCGAGTGCAATTAAAGAACTTTCAAAACATTACAAGTGTCTATTAATTCCAAATTGTACGAGAAGATCGTG